TTTTAACCGTTATAGTCAATTATTAAATTTTTTTAATCTTTTAAAATATAATTATTTTATTAAAATAAAATTTAATATATGATAAATAAAAATAAAAAATTTAAAAATATAACATAATAAAATTTAATAAATATAAATTATAAATAAAATAATATTAGTTATTTTTAAAATTTATGTAAAATATAAAAAAATAAAAAAGAAGAAAAAGTTAACTTTATATTTATCAAATTGATTGAAAAAATGGAAAAAAATAATAATATAATAAACTAATTAATAATAAAAGATTAAAAAAGACAAAAAAATTAAAAAGTGGATAAAAGAAAAATAAAAATTGTGAAATATAAAAAAAATAACTTTATAAGTAATAAAAAAAGAAAATGAAATATTTTTAAAATATTAATATTTTAAAATTTAAATATAAAGTGAGCGGAGATGAATTGAGACCGGAGTGAGGATTGCATCACTCATCTCCGCTCTCGCCGCCAATATTTTAAAGTGAGAAAATTCCGAACTCGTCCCCGATCCTAATCAATTCGATTTTTCCCTTTTTAATCTAGGAACGGATCGATTCACACATGTATAAGTTTAATTGTCATCCCTAATGTCGAGTCATTTTTTTTTTACATTCTTATTTATATTAATTGATTTAATTTAATTTATATAAAAACTTTAATTAAATATTTGAAAATTAAAAATAATGATAAATTTATTATAACAATATTTTATTTTCTTTTAAATTATAAGTATTTATCCGTGGAGAAGAGTATATATTAGTTACACTAGCAAATTAGTTTTCCTTTTCAACAAAAATAGTAAAATGTACAAAAGATCTCCTCCAAATGCCATAGGATGTGCTCATTATGGGAAAGACTTGTTAGTCACTCAGCATAATTTAATATTTACCCATTATTACATATATCACCTTCTTCAGCTTCTGTTATCCAAATATAGTATACTTCCCTACTCTCTACTTCACTTGTTATCCCTTAGTCATTGTTTGTGGTAATATGTTGTTGGTAAAGAATTAAGGGAGCGGATTTACAACGAAATTGCATGTTTGTTTACGTAGATGTAAGTTGATTTAGAAAGAAATTCTAATTTTTTAGCTTCACCTTTAATTCTAAGAAGAGATGGAAAGAAAGGCAAGTAAAATATCTATTTTATTTCTGATATAAATTTGGTCCTATATATTCTCATGCAATATCTGATGTATACGTTGAGTTGTTGAGATTTTTTTTATTTTTTTCATTCCAAATACCCCTGAGTAGTGACAACCTTTACCGGTGCATTGAAAAAAAAATTCTCTGTTCCTCAATACAGCTCACGGTTTCCTCTTTACTACATGCAATTACCACTCTACAGTATTGAAAGACAAAAATGCTTACTGTATCAACGTGGAACGACCCATGAATCATTACACTCAATTCAACTTTAAATACATTCATAAACACGACTTCTCCTTGCATTCACTGATATAATTGTAATAAACAGGAGTTTGAGTGAGATTAGGAGACAAGAAATTCAATGGAAACTGATACAAAGGTGGTGGTTGTTGTTGCACATCCAAGGAACCAATCTCAAGTATGTAATTCTAAATTTTTTGATTATTTAATGATTTGAACTATCTAAGATGAATTTGATTATCCTTAGTTTCTCCTAATTGAGTTGAACTGTTATTATTTAGATGTTAATTGAATTGTTGTTAACTGTAATGATTAAATCAGAAAGTTGAGTATAATCGATTAAATGACATGGTCCCTAGTATAACAGCCTGCATAATTGATTATGCTGAACAAAATTGGTCACTCTTATTCGTTTATCTGTAATTGATTTCATTGCATATGATAGATATCTTTAGTTTTCTTTTTTAATTATGTACTTTATCTTGATTTAGACTAGGTAGGACGTTTCAAAAAGCCACATTACTCCTCGCTCTTCTTCCTCAAAATCTCTTAAAACACTGAATGATATAAATCTTAGTCAACAGCTTCACTTCAACATCTTGGCTTACAGCGTCTCCTTTATATGGCGTATACAGAACGTAACCCCTTGGACAGATTCACAACATGCATAACGTTGCCGAAAATATCATAATAAACAACTTTGGCATTGGTTTCTTCAAGCTCCACAGACATGAATCCTTGTCCATCATAGTAAAACTTTACCCCATCTGTCCTATTTTTATCGATGTCTCCTTTCCATGCCTTTGAACCTCCACCACTGGTTAAGAATTGGATTTCGCTGCAACAACACCCAACACCATCAAATGTTTATCATGATTTAGTAAACAAACAGTAAGTTAACACACCTGCTTGTGCTAACTATGCGTTCCAAGCAGTGGTCGTGCCCATTAATGTACATATCCACATTATTTGCCTGCAGTTTAATTTTATCAGTTAAGGATGCTTTCATTTTTCACTAGTCTAGGATAGGTACAGGATTTTCTTTGTAATATATTTTTGGCTAAATGACCTCAAGAATTGGCAGGAGCTGCTTTATGAGCTCTTGGGTGTCACCATGGTGTCCTATGCTTCTTATTGTATGATGCCCCACAACAATCTTCCAGTTGGCAGTAGAACCCTTTAATGCTTCTTCCAAATCCTATGTTCAGGACCATAAACAAAAAGGAAAAGGGATAAATAGTATTAAAACGCTTTTTATATTAATCCGTTGTGATTATAAAGTGATTAAGAGGTTTACCTGTAAGAGCTTTGATAGATATTTCTCCCTTGGAAGCACTCCTCTCCAATCATACTTGTGGTCTTCCGGCTCCAGAAAATACTTGTCCACAAAGGGTGTTGTATCAACGAAGAAGAAGTCAGCAATTTCTGGAGAGTTTTAAGATTAGCAGAATACTTAATGATGTCCAAAATATACTATCCAGGACATGGACATAAACCTATATTGAGAAGCCACCTACCAGTATCAACAATAAATGATCTTTGGCAGATCCATCTGGGATCGATTTTCTGAAGGATTGGATTCAGTTGTGCTTCGACGTCTCCCCTGTAGTCGTGGTTGCCCAGCACTGCAACCAACGTTCATCACATTTATAGGACAGAAGAATAGAAGATTAGAGGAATAGTTTGCTTATACATCAATAGTGGGTGTGCTTAACTCACCATTATACCACTTCTTTTGGAGGCTCTTGGCAGTGTAGATTTTTGAGAAGGAAATTTCAAAAGCAGGGTCGTCTATACCAGTCAATCCATCGTCATAGAAATTGTCTCCAGTGGATATCACAAAGTCGATGTTTAACTCTGCGGCAACTCTTCCCATCTGACATATCACGTTAGCAAACATATGAGAGACTAAAAAGCACCACCTTTTGCTTTAGCGGAGAAAGTTCCATGAGCAATCACCACTGCTCTAATTAGTCTTTCCTTGGAGTTTTGTGACTAGTGATAAGAAAAGGAGAAGGTAGAAGGAAGCTAGAATTTTTGTAACTGAAATTCGTAAGAGTTATAAGATGAAGAATGCATGTAACAAAGACCTGGGTAGCAACTTGAGATTGATTGTACGTTCCTTTCCTTCCCCAGTCTCCAATGACCACAAGGCTAAGAGAGCCATCAGCTTTGACAGGGTGCTCTAGGCGTTGGAGCAAAGCTGATACATTCAGAAAAAAGAGACTAATGAAAGCCATCCATACACTCAAACCAGCCATGTTTTGTGTGTTAGTGTTTCCAACTCTTCACTTGTAGAAGAATTTATATGAGAAAATAAAAATCCCTTCTGTTGGTGAGCAAAAAGGGATCTTTAGAGCATATCCAACGTTACAAAATTTAAGAATTTTGTGGAGTCTATAATTCCAGATCAGATGGGATTTAAGAATTTCAACAAATGTTCTCTCTAATAATACCAGACTTAAAAGTGGGTGAAATTACATAAAAATTGTTTACGAGTATAATAATTTCGTAAGCAACTTCCACTATAACAGAAGATGTTGTAAGCGTTACTGTGAAAGTAACATAGATAACTTATACGTTCTAACGGCTCATTCATTGGCTTGGGATGCATAATTGTGCATTCACTGGGCCCACATGTTAGTTTGTGCACCTTCGGTGCAACTTCGTAGCTCAAGACAATATTGTCTCGTGCCTACGTATACTCCATTCCTCTCTAATTAAAATTATAATTATAATTAGAAGCAGTGAATTCAAGTGCAGAACGCTGATGCAACGAGTGAAAGAGAGTGATAAACGCTGAGTTGGGAAAAACGTATGGGTAACTGATTCCCCGTTGGTATAAAGTAGATGTTAAGTTCTAACTAAATTTGCTGAAATTAACAAGTTCACGTTAGCAGGTTCAAAGGTTTAGTATGATTGTAGCAAATTCGTAATCGTAAGTGCATTTCCTTTTGCTCTACCATATGGAATTTCTGTGTTCTTGCTGTACTCAATTCACCCATAAATTAATTCCAAATCCAACCGTTCAAATTTCTGATTATCATTTCGTCTAATGTTAATTGATTTTAGTTTGAAATCTAGTATGATATTTGTCTTAGTCTGCCTACTGTAACAACATCTTAATCGAAGTTTCACGTTGTAATACCAATTGATTTTAGGTTGAATTCTAATTATTCATTTGACTTTGTAATGTCCTCTAAGGTGTTAAAGTCTGGTCGTACTTTTATAGTAGCGTGTAAGAAAGCAGTGGATATTGGATATCACCAACGTATGCTTCCGTTTACAAATCCATTATGCTCAATTCTTTATCCACAAAACCGATGGACTTAGGACTATCAGAAATGTTGGATAAGTTGACAGATTTAACAAAGTGTTTTAACCACATTTCTGAAAATAATTCAGTCATTAAATTATTGACTCGGTGATGTCTCTGCGGTGAATGAATCACAATGGCAAATGGGAGTTGGCCCATCATATTTTCATTTCTTTTAGATACTCAAGCATGACATGAAGGATTGGTTTTGAATTTGGTCCCAACCAATTTTGGCTTGTATTTCTTTAATAATCTCAATGTCGCACTTATAGCTCTAAACTTCACATGGAAGAATGTAGCAGTTTTGAAGAAGCCAATCTGTGTAAAACGTTGCCAAAAACATCATAGAACTCAATGGTAGCATCAGTCTGAGACAATTTAACGGACATGAAGCCTTGTCCGTCATAGAAGAAATTTAGGCCCTTTCCATCCATTCCTTTGATGTCTCCTCTCCAAGCCTTCGACCCTGCCCCGCTAGTCAGGAACTCAATGGGGCTGCAAACAAGTTCCTTTATCAGATAAATATATTACTTTGACTTTGTTCCTTCTAAAATATTTTTACATGAATTCGTCTAGTTTTACCTCTCTGTGTCACTGATATGTTCAAGGCAATGATCATGCCCATTCATGTAAAAATCAATATTATTTGCCTGAAATTTGAAAGTAAAATCAGCCAGTTAGTTAGCGGAACTAGGAGATTATTTTCCATGGGGAGGTAGGGGAGGATCAGAGTAAGTTCTGAGCTTTAAGTTACCTGAAGGATTGGGAGCAGCTTCTTTACAAGTTCTTGAGTATCCCCATGATGCCCAACACTTCTAATGGCATGGTGACCAACAACAATCTTCCATTTTGCTGTTGATTCCCTCAGTGCCAGATCCAGGTCCTGAAACATAATTTAAAATGTTATAAACATGTTCAGTTATATCACTCTCACTGATGTGACATGCAAGCTCTATTTTAATCAATCATCAGTGATGGGACATGAAAACCCTATCTTTAATCGATCATCAAATGGATGGCAGCAGCCAAGCGTGAGCCACGAAATTAGTTTGATTGAACTAGGAATATTTATTTTGATTTTTTCAGCCAATTGAATCCGAAATAGAATCATACGGATATTATTTGAAAAGTAAGAAAATGAAAAATCCCTATTTATTTGACAATCACAGCTGATTTTGCTGAAGAGGAAAAAGCAATGAATTATGTGTGCATGCCTTGAGTAAGTTGGTAATATAAGGTTCTTGTGGTCCAATGCCCCGCCAATCGTACTTGTGTTGCTGTGGTTCAGTGAAGTACTCTTGAACAAAAGGAGTGGTGTCTACAAAGAAAATCTCAGCCAGCTCTGCAGGACAAATACATCGGATGAGTGCATGGAAGCCTAGAAGATGACCTCAAACAAAGAAAAACATGAACAAGCAATACAATACCTGAATCTACAATAAATGACCTTAGGCAGAGCCATCTACTATCCATTTCTCTAAGGACTGGACTCAGTTGGGCCTCTGCATTACCCCTGTAGTCGTGGTTGCCTAACACTGCATCCACCATCACACAAAAGTTTATGCATATGGTAAGGTCTACAAGACTCAAGGTGTAAGTCCTTTGTCCTCATCACTGATGTGTTTAGGAAATTACCGCTATACCACTGCTTTTGCAGGCTTTTTGCTGTGTAGATTTTGGTAAATGACTCTTCAAAAGCGTTATCGTGTTCACTGAATAGTCCATTGTCATAAAAGTTGTCCCCAGTGGAAACTACGAAGTCGATATCAAGTTTCTCCCCAACCTTTCCCATCTGCATGTTCATTTTTTCATGCATTAGAAGATGCATAAAAGAGCTATGTAGAAGAGCAGACGCTATAATCTAGAAGATGAAAATGAATGAAATGAAGAATCTGCATTAATGCTTCACCACCAAAGTGTGCCGGACTTTATGAATGGAGGATCGGTTTCATATATTTGCATGACATGACATAAACATAAAAAGAAACCTGGAAAGCAACTTTTGATTGGTTGTAAGCGCCTCTTCTTCCCCAGTCACCAAGCACCAAGAAGCTAAGAGCATCATCATGTTTAGGAGAGTGTTCAAATCTCTGGAGTTCTGCAGATGCATAAAGAAGACACAGGGCAGAGCTGATGATGAAGGTAAAGAGAAAGAAGTTGGACATGGTCATGTGTGTGGGGACTCTAACCACAACAAGCAAGGCTTCTGACTTTAAAAAATGTTACATGGACAGACAACTTTGGATTTGAGTGACAATGGAGAATCTAGACACACACAAAGATGTTGAAGCAAATAAAAAAGTTGTGGAAATGGATGGATCCAATCCTATCGTAGGGGGTTGAAAATGAATAAAGAAAGTGATGACATTGATGGTTGAAGTGGATTATCTAGAGACAATATAGGTGTTTGAAGTATGCAGTGGAGGGAGAGAGAGGCACAAGTTGGTGATAGATTCGAATATGCCATGCAATGATGGAAGAGAGGGTGTGGAATAAGCATGAAAGAGCAGAATATTCCACACCCATTTTAAAAGATAAAGGCATATCAAGCAGAATATTCGGATGCTATGCTATAAATCATTCCAAGTCTAATTACACACCCCGAGATTTATGTTCCAGCTTTCTCCGTTCATCATATTTCATACCCTCGTTCTCAGTAATTTATAAATATAACATCTTCTCTTTCATATCCAAACCACACACTTTTTACCTTCACTTCGTAAACAAACGAAACAATTTCATGTATGTAATCAAAGATCAACGACAAAAAATAGATCTGTGTGATCAATAGTTTCTTTTTATTGAAATTTGTAAGATTTTGTAAGTGTGCAGTGCTGTTCCATGAAATATATCTCGAATTAGATCTATATATCTTTTATTTATATACTTTTTCATATATAAAGAATGAAAATATAATAAAATATTAAAAATATCTTGATCATAATTATTTAAATTAAAATAATAATATAATGTCTATTTTTTTATTTTAAAAATCTTTAATAATAAAATATAATTCTTTTAAACAAATCAGCTTTTATATTTTCTAACCTAATAGTCTTAACAAGTAATTTTCCTTAACCTATCAGTTAAAGCATCTTTGATGCAAAAAAAGAAAAAGAAAAAAACATATTTTAATTTTATGTGGATGGATAGAAGCATTAATTGTATTAGAGTTACATAGAGGGATATGTACAAGAGAAATGGCTAGCAGTGAAGACACCATAAAGTGGTTGGTATCAAAGAGAACCATAATAATTTAGAGCACTTGACATTATATATTATTATTTAATTAATAAAAGTAGTTATCTGAAAGACGTTTGGTTTTCAATCCAACATAATTTAAGTGATAATTTTATGTTGAAAAATGTAATAATTTAATTGCAACATTTATGTTTGTTTGGATTTGAGGGGTGAAATATAGAAAGTGAAAAAGAAGAAAAAAAGAGTGCAATGTGAGATTGGTTTGAGAGAAAGAGAGTAGAAAATGAATAAGAAATATGAATAAAGATTGGAGAAAATGAAATTGATGTAATTGAATAAAAAATTGAAATAATAATATAAAGTATGTAATTATGATAATATTATATATTATATAATTTAATACAGAGTAATTATTTTATATTATATATTAGATATAATAATTTTTTTATTAAATATAAAATTAATTTTGAATATTTTGTATAAATGTTTAAAAAAATTTGGATTAAAAAAAATGGAAAGTAAAAAAATAAGATGAAAATTTATAATTATTTGATTGATTTGAAATAATAAAATAATATATTAATAAAATAATTATTAATATATTATTATTTAATAAAAACAAATATAATTTATTTTATAAAAATAATTAATTTTAAAGTAATTAATTTTTAAAAATTAAAAAAATTAAATTATTGATTAAAAATTATGTATAAAATTTATTTTAAGTACTAATTAAAAAATTAAAATATAATAAAAAAATTTATAATAAAAAATAAATTTAATAACATTATAAAAAATATATTTATATTTAAATATAATTTTAATTTTATTATAATAAAAAAAATATACAATCACGTGTAATTTAATTATGATCCTGATATAATTTAATTATAATAAAAAGATAATTGATTGATACATGATTATATATATATATATATATATATATATATTAGTATTATTATTATTTATATATTAATTATTATAAATATTATTATTTAAGTTATTAAATTATATAAATTATTTTAAAATATAATTATAATATTTCATTTATTTTTCAAAAATTATAATATAAATATAATTAAAAAATAGCAGTATAAAAATTATTTTCAAAAATATAAATATAAATAAATTACTAATCTTATTTATTATCTTACATAGTATTAACCTGAAAAATAAACATAATTTATTAAAAATATTATTAGTTAATATTGTTTTAGAAAATTAAGAAAAATAAATAAATAAGTGGAGTAGTATATTTCATGTAATTTATTATCTACCCAAAATCAATTTACAATTATATCAATAAATTTTATTTTATGTCTTTGTATTTCTCTACAAATTAAATAGTTATATGTATTGGATAGATTCTTTGTTATTTCCTTATAAATCAGTTGAAATTCACATATACAAAACAGATCAATCAATACAAATATGCAAATATGTTTACCCATTAACAGGAAATAAATAGGTTAAATAGATAATTTAGTCCCTTTATTTATTAAAATGTTTTCATGGTCCTAAAATTTTTAATTTAAACATGAATATTGAAATTAACGTCAATTTTGGACTACCGTTATGTATATTTTGACTCGTTATATTAGATGTCTAGTTGGAGTATGAGTTCTTATGTGGTTAGATGATTGGTTATAGTTACGTGACAGATTTGTCACGTCACATTAAAATTGCAGTAAGAAAGGAATATAGCCGCAAATGTGTTTAAGGTTTCAACAGTTAAAAGTTTGTGCAAATGGGTGAGGGAAAACGAGAGGATTTGCAACGACAGGGGAGATGGAAGTTCCATTTGTGACGACAGTAGGGGTTTAGGGTTCCAATCATTGTCGTGTGTGAGATTGACTGTGACGAAGAAGGAGGAGGTTGGTTCATTTAGGGTTTGCTATTACGACATCGAGGGAGCGAGTTGTTTCCGACGACGAGGGAAGAGGGACTTGCGACGACGGCGGAGTCGAGCATGCGGAAGGGACTACCTGCAACCCATTGCAACGACGAAGGAACTCTCAATTGTTCTCATACCCTAAACACATGTGTGACCCTTATTCCTTTCTTCGTGCAATTTTATTGTGACGTGACAAATCTGTCAAGTAACTATAACCAATCATCTAACCACATCAGAACTGATACTCTAACTAGACATCTAATATAATATAACAGAGTCAAAACATAAATAACGGTAGTCCAAAATTGACATCAATTTCAATATTTATGTCTAAATTGAAAATTTTAAAATTTTTGGAACCACATTGAAACATAAAAAAAAAATAAAGGGACTAAATTACCTATTTAACTAAATAAATATGTAAAAGTAAATATGGACTTACCTTATAAAAACTTTTAATTTTTACTTAAGTTAATTCTAATATATAGAAAAAATAATTTAGTTATTTTATATGTTTTGTCACGTAATTTGTATAAAATTTAGATCCTTAGTATATAATAAATAGTTATAAATTTAGTTAAAATGCATCAATTATATTTTAATCTAATCATATATTGACTTATATGATAAATTTATTAATTTTATAATATCTATTTAAAAGTCATTTACGTTTATAACTTATAATTCCTTTGCTGGTATTAATGTTAATGTTCATGTTCTTTTTCTGTTTTTCTTTCCTGGATTCTGGAAAGGTTCCTTAAATTTGTGTAATACTGTTAATTTAATCCTTAAAAAAATATCTTAATTACGTTGTTATTAAGTTTTATAGAACTATTATTCTATTTAAATATAATTTTAAGAATCAATTTAACACTAAATAAGAAATTATTTTATCATTAAGTTATAATATACATGGAAACAATAAATTAATAATTTTATACACTCATTAATACTTTATCTGTGCATTGTGATGACAAGCAAATACACGATGAAACCAAATACAGAAAACATCTGTGTCATATATTCAACGTCATACGCTGAATTTATTACGAAAACATGGCTGAAGAAGAAATTTATCTACTGATTGGGACCCAAGAGTTCGAGAAGAAAAGCTCTGTAGTGGCCAGATGTTTCTGAGTGGACTGCGTCATTAAGTGTCTTCTTGTATTTCTTTAAATATTCAGCTTTGATATAATGTAAATCTATCTCAGCCCTTGTTACAATCACCCTTATAAGTTTTGTGTCATCAGTCCCCAAGCCTTTCATTGCCTTGCGTAGGACCTGCATGGGGCAAAAGGTGAATTGAATTTGTTGATGCATATATACATTAATATTGCATGCTAAATGGGGTTAGGATCGTCTTTACAGTATAAAAATGAATGTCAGTCTTTTGAACAAAGTAACCAAAACTGTATCTCTAGTGGCAGGCTCCTGACCCTGCCAAAGCCTACATGTATGTACTCCATGAAGATACATATTATATTATCCTCTTCATTCAAGTTTCTAACACTTTCAATTATATAATTCATTTGTTTCAAGAACTCCGTGCCAATGTTGCTAACAGATATTTCAATGAAAAAACAATCTAAGAATAAGTTTAACGTAATCATCTTATCTTGCACCACTTTTCACTTGATTCTCTCACCCGTATTCCCTTTTTCATACAAAATGAGGAGTTATCATTGAATGAAAACACTGTGATCTCCGTCCAAGTATGATGGCAATACAAACAAAATTGAAGCCAAGGGGCGATACCTTTGCGAAATACTTTGCAGGATTTTCAGAAAATTGAATTATCGTCAGAAGTGCCAGAGCAAAATTTCCTGACGTTTCCTTCTTTACTGCCTGATAAATTCAGCTAGGATAAGCACAAGAAAACAACGTTGGGAGAGTATGTTTAAAGGAAATAAAAATAGTAAAGATACCTTTTTCAACGAGTGTCCATACATGTCATTGTAATAATGATTTACGGCAGTCAAATGTGCTGCACTCCGCTCACTAAATATTTGCACAAAAGTCTTCTCGTCTGTTCCCAGCCTCTTCTCTCCTGCTTTGTAGAGAACCTTTGCATCCATCTCAGCAAACTCTTTATTTACCTCAGGGCCTTCATGACGGGGTATGGTTAAATATGAAAGCAAAATCTGAATCAAGGATTTTACATAAATGTGTAAGTAGTAGCACGTTTTGTTTGAATATATTGGAAGGAACTGAGACGTGATTAGTATAGAGAATAAAAGGAATGAAACAGAATTTTTACATCCAATACGATCTAGGACAAACAACTGAATTGCACATTTAATTAATGGATATAGCAAAAAATTAGTCCACTTCCAACCAATCTGACTTGAGACTGAAATCTTACAACTTCCAACAGGCATTCAATCTTTTGTATAGATCCAAATCTCTTTGTTGGCCTTGTAGCGATATTCTTATGGAGTAAATTTTGATTGAAGTGGTTGCATTGAGTTTTTTTCTGTTCCAGCTAGTTATTCGCCATAACTAACTTATGCAAGAGGTGTCGTTTGGAATTTATTCTTTGTGAGCTTGTGTCTAACTTATACATATTAGCATAGGTGTTATTTAGAAATATCCTAATATCCTAATATGACTTTAAAGGCCAAGAGATAGAAAGCTTAATATGAATAATTTGTGATAGCAACGATGTTATGAAAGCCAAATATAGACAAGGACAAAAAGAAGATTCACCTTTTTATGATCCCCGGAGGTGTATCTTTCAATTTCATGCTCAAGATAAACCCCAAATCTAGTATAGTAAACCTGTCTTAAATATTGCAGCTGGGATGAAGTTCGTGAACATATTACTTCAGTAGCAGCTTCAAGATTTTTGGCCACAGTAAGACATTGCTTGAGGATTATTGCATCACGTCCAGCAGGGTCGTGGATCCAAAGCAGAACTGCAGTCTACGAAACCATAAAATATAGGCCAAAGCAGTTAAAAATTGTTGCGAAATGAAGCATAGCCGCTTCACTTGTCTAAATTCGAAGGTATTTGTATATATAGATAACGTTTTGGTTAATAAACAGAGGAACACATGCGGGATAGTGTGTTTGCGACGAAGTAGAATGGGGTCCATGAGAATGAAAGCTATGTTAAAAGGAATAAGTACCTCCAACTTTCCAGAAAGCTCAGAAGATAAGCGTTTGAGAAGGTCCGTGGAATACATTGTTCTGAATTCATGTTGGATGTGGGCACGCTGAATGGCATCTCGATGAGCGAGTACATTGACGACGACGCTAGTATCACATCCAAATCCTGCAAAACAAAGAATCAGCACTGTAACGAAAAGAAATCAACAAAAAAACAGGCGCAAGAAATGAATTGCGGATTATTTGTATGTCATTGTGAGAATGAAAGCGTAGTGAGGGTTTGAATGGATTAAAAAGAAAAGAGAGAGACGAAGGGAAAAGAGAAAAGAGTAAAAAGACCTTTGAAAGCAGTATAAAGGGTTATGGCGTCGTCTCTCGGGGAGGGAGGAACAGGGGGTACATTCAGGGTCGCCATCTTCTGCTGTGTCTTTGATTGATTCTGTATCTTTGATTGATTGATTGGTTGATTGATGAATCAAAACAGAAGCTCGTTGCTTCGTTCTAACGCAGGTCAAGGGAGAACAAAGGCGTCAATCAAAATCAACTCATCACCGAATTCCATTTATTTATTGATTAATCTACTAATTAATTCACCACTACTAATTATTAACTTACCGTTCAATCCGTTCGTTTCGTCATCAAATAAATATCCAAATCAAAACTCATCAATTCCAAAAACTCGTGGCCAAGTGGGAGACACGTTACTACCATCAGACTAACCTCACCAAATTAGTCTATGATATAATGAATTAAAAATAATCCATCTTTCAAAACTAATCTTGAACTCAATACCGTTCATCAAACTCATGACTTTGACTTTAAGATTGGATAGCCAATTTCCATTTTCTTTCCTCTTTTTTCTTTCGTTTTATTTTTAGTGATATCCAAAACAAAGAATGACGAGTGATGGTATGTAATTTGGATTCTTCATCATGTGCACCTTCTAGTCATTTCCCAGATTATGACGCGTTTTGTTTTGTTTGTTTTTTAAAAATAATTATTTTTTATTATAAAATTAAAACCTATATTGTAGTTGATAAAATGCTTATTACTCTACCATGTCCTATAACATAAATTAATTTCTAAAAATATAACCGCAATGTAGGGATGTAATAAGCATGTTGAATTAGGACAAATTTATCCAAATCTATATCACATAAAAATTTAGGTGAGATTAGATTGAATCACACTTTTGTAAATCTATTACAGATTTGTAAAAATATATATTTTTTATTCAAAATTATACTAAAATAATTTAATATTTATATTATAATTATTGATATTAATCTTCTTTGATATTTTTTTGTCGAATTGAACATAGAATATTTATTGCAGAAATTGAATCAAATTAAATTGGATTTGATAAAAAAAACTCAATTTGATAGTCGAATTATTTAATGTTTTGTTTGGATTAATATAGAAGATAATTGATGATAAATGAAGTGATTTTTTAAAAGTAGTATAAATTAATTAATTTAATAAAATAATGTATTTAAATAATATATTACTCATTATCAAAATATATATATTAATAAATTATTAAATGGGTCTATCATATTTGATTTTGTCTAATTTGGCATCTTATTTAAAGAAGATATGAGTTTAGTTCAATTCAATTTGATATGAGACGGCAGTTTAAAGAATTATATAATTTAATTTGATCCATAATTTAAAACAAGTCATATTTGTAGGTACCTATCTCTTATATGTAAAATCAACAAATTATTTTTATCCATTTAAAAAAATATAAATAAAAAAGTTAAATTATATTAATAAAATTATTTTTAACTTTAAAAATAATAATTTATATGTAATAAAATAATATTATTTTAAAATTGAATTATTATTTTATTGCCGATATATGTATTGAGTATCTTGTTATTGTAATAATATTAGAATTAATTTTTTTTAAAATACGGATTTATAACTTTTAAATATAGAATTTTTTTCCTAATCATATGGTAGAAATTATTTATATTGTAGTGTACAAATATTATGAATAATAAATTTGTTGAATAAAGTAGAAAAGAAAAAGTAAAATTGTGTAAAAGTAAATATTTATTGAAACTATATTTTCACTGTGTAGATTTTTTATTTAAAAAAAAAAAGTTGGTAGATGCATTGGGCAGATGGTAAGCAAAACCTAAAAGGGTTTATAGGGGAATTATAATTCCATGAAGTTTTTCCTTTTGTAGTGGTGTAAGAATTTGGGGTGCGGAGGATTATGGATATGAAAATAGGGCGGTTGAGGCTTATCCGAACGAAGTAATGTATGTATCCATTCCTTGGTTGTTTTATATTTGAGCTGTTCAAATGAGTGGTCATAAATGACGAGAATCAGATTCGTGTAAGATGAAAGAGGAGTTGGGATAGGGACAAAAGAGGGAACATCTCATTCAAGGCGTGAAGTAATAATTTTCGCCGCATACCACCACGTGTCAGTCCTTGAGAGCCACACCTGTCGTGTGGTTATGGAATTCCCAACATGTTAGGGTGACCACCAGCGCAGCACCTTCTCGAACGATGCACTTTCACCAACCTCATTCTCCTCTCCTCATCTCATCTATAATCTTTTCCAAATCCATTTCTTCCTTCTCCCATTCTTTTATATTACACATACACACACACACGCCCAGTTACTGAAAAAGGAAAGAGTTATATATATCAAGAAACGAAAACTGCTAAATTTAGCAGCGTGCTATTTTTGGGAATTGGATATTGATCTTTGAATCTGCTTGGGCTGCGTAGGGTTGCGTTGAATTGCATTGCGTTGCACTGTGATTGAGGATAGGATAGGAAGTAGGGGAAGGTTAGGAAGCATTGGGAATGGCAATGGCCCCAATGGCTATGGCAAGTGAGGGGATGCTTTTCAGGGGAAACGAGGCCTCCACCTTGATTTTGACGTCCGGTGCCAGCGGCCGAATCCGCGCCCTCTTTTCCCTCCGAGCCTTGCAAGCCCTGCTTGCCTTCTTCAACAATCTCGTTTTCCTCCTACTCTTTCCTTTCCGCAAAGGGACCCTCCTCTCCTCCCGACTCGCCTGGAAGACCACCTCTCCCTCCCCCTCCATGCCCCGGAGGGCCTTGGCCATTCGTAGACTCCTCGAGGATGCCGACGCTGACCCTCATCCAATCTCCTTGAGGGAGTACCGCCTCTTCCCTAACTCCCGGGGTGACACCATTTTCACCCAGTCTTGGCTTCCCCTCTCTCCTCACACTCACATCAGGTTATTCATTCTTCTTTCTTCCTGTAATCTTGTTCACGTTCATTAATTAATAACCTTTTTCATTTCTAAATTTTCCTTTTCTACTTTCTTCATTTTACAGGGGAGTTGTTTTTCTTATGCATGGACTTAATGAACACAGGTTTCTAACTCTATTTCTTATCTAATTTCTTCCCTTTCGTTTTAGCTCCCCCTTTATTATTTAATTACTTCTCATCTTGATCATTCTTCTCTCGCAGTGGCAGATATACTAACTTCGCGAAGCAGCTCAATGCTAATGGCTTCAAGGTTTACGCCATGGATTGGGTTGGTAAGACTTCTCTACAATTTTCATCACACATCAACTTTGCAACATTTGATTCCATACCACTCACATTTGGCCCAGCAACCTCTAAGACACTAGTCCAAAAACTTTAATCAATGCTGGAACAAATGGTTTATACGGATGTTCCTAATTCAGGCTAAACATCATCATGACATTCTCTCTCTATCATTATTAGCATTCACTGACATTATGAACAATCCAATTTCTTTTTCTCCTATTGCTCTTGTTCCCTGTTGCTCGGTACAGTGGCAGATTCACAATTAATGATAGCTATTGTCATACATTTTTTTTATTCGGCAAATGTGTGAAAATAAGACGTGAGATGGTATGAAGTTTCCCGCTGATTAAAATGTAAAGATTGTCTCTGAAGTCTGCAAATAGATTTGCAATTAACAAATTAACATTTCTGTAAATTCTTAGGATTCTATTCTTGTTTAGTTTTTAAGATGCCTCTTATGAGCTTAAGTAGTCTTTACCCATTGATGAGGTGGTCAAATAATATATTATTAATAAATAAATATAAATAATATATTATTAATAAATAAATATAAAAGAAAAAAAGAAGATAAAAGGGTGAAAAGATAAAATTATAAATATATAATTAAATATATTAAATAATCATTAAGTTTGAGGGGGACAAAATCATAAATTATAACAAAATTGAAGAGAGACTGAGAAGATAAAATTGTAAATATACAAGTAAATATATTAAATGTTCATTAAGTTTGTTAAAATCATAAATTATATAAGAGTTACAAAACTTATTTAACTTACTTTGGGAGGCTATTGCCCCTCACCTCGCAATAAGACCTGCCACACTTGGCCAATCCTCTCCCCTCAGTTAGCTTATGGGGTTGAGTAGGGCCGTTCCTTTTTTGATATGGTATCCCAGCCCATTTAACTGTCTAGTCTTGAGTGTAAGGTGGGTGTGTTAAGATGTCCAACATTATCTAGGAGCATGATCAAAATACTTCTATAAAACGAGGCATATATGAGTTTCATACATTACATTGCAACTTGTTGAACTATGAAAATTTTGTAAACAGTGGAATGTATGTTTTTCATTGCAACATGGGACAAAGTTGTGACTTGTCCTGTTTTTCCTTTCTAGTAGATTGTGTTTTAAAATATTTTTTTTCACCTCAGTATTTGCTCAACTCTGATGCTTATCTGTTATGTTTACACTCAGGCCACGGTGGAAGTGATGGGTTACATGGTTATGTCCATTCTCTTGATGATGCTGTTTCTGATATGGTATGTTTCTAACCTGCATACTACCAAGGTTTTGACAATGCATGGTGGTGGGGAGGGGTAATATTAGTAGAATTTATTTTCTGACTGAAAAAATCCTTCTTACACTCAAAGAATTTTATTCTTTTTGATAAACAGAAAACAATTTTGGAGAAGGTTATAAATGAAAATCCTGGACTTCCATGTTTCTGCTTTGGACACTCGACAGGAGCAGCCATTACTCTTAAGGTAACACTTCTTATTAAAATAAGATTCTTGCGATTAGTAGTAAAGGGAAAAAGCTCAAGAAGTATAAATGATTTAGCTTTTAATTTCTATCTTAATTTTAGGCTCTACTTGACCCGAAGTTTGAAAGTCGCATAGCTGGTGCTGTATTGACATCCCCTGCAGTTGGTGTTGCCCCTTCTCATCCAATTTTGCTGGTGAGCGTATCTATCTGATTATAGAAGATACTTGTTAACGTCTTCGTTTTATACCTGAATGCATAAAACATGGCAGAGTTGGCATATTCATCCTCTTGTCTCTTCATTGCAGGTACTTGCTCCTATAGCTTCATTTTTGCTGCCAACATATCAATGCAGTTCTGCATATAAGAAGGGTTCGCGAGTATCTAGAGACCCAGAGGCGCTAATTGCTAAATATTCGGATCCATTAGTATGTACTGGACCTCTTAGAGTACGAACTGGTTATGAGATTCTCAGAATTACAAGCTACTTGCAGCAAAATCTCAGAAAATTAAGAGTTCCATTTTTTGTTCTCCATGGCACTGCTGACTCCGTAACTGATCCCGTTGCTTCTCAAAAATTATATGTAGAAGCCTCTTCAACTGACAAGAGTATCAAACTATACGAGGGGTTCTTACATGATCTGCTCTTTGAACCAGAACGAGATGCTATCACACAGGATATAATTCAATGGCTGAACGGTAGAGTGTAATCTTAAATAGTGGTGTGAGTGAAAATGTCATGAAAATTTTCAACCATTGATAATTGAAGCTGAAGCTACATAAAACGAGTCATTCTTCGATGTTGAAATCCTAAAGCTATCTATGAGCTTCTTTTTTAGCTAGGATCACATTTATTGCCCTTTTCTCCTCTCAGTAGTTATCGTTGAGTACAGTAAGTAATTTTGCCCTTGTCTTTTTTGGGGTAATTTTTGTCCATAGAAAGTATGTACTTTTTTATTTTCTTGTCCAAAGCATTCTTGCAAGCAACAAGTATGCCAGTGCACGGACTGTTTAAATTACAATAAAATTTTATCTCAAGAGGTCGATTTCCATTAAGATCAAAATTTCAGAAATATTATTTACCACTCCATTTTTCTTGACAATTTTTATGATGTCTTTCTTGGTCTTTTCATTTTTACAAGACTATAAATCATGAAACTTAACTTTTTCACTGGTGGTTCTTTTAGCGTTTTCACATGAATTCAGTAGTCTCGGGTGGATACAACTTTGGATAAACTCGATCAATATGAATCAAACTCAATTATAAAAGTTGGAGTACATACATGGTAAACCACTTACCTCGAACTATCCGATCCTGGCTCTGATTCGTACAATAAATGGGCTACTCAAACTTACGGGAAACTTGAGTAAATTTATAACTTGGTTATTTTTATTTAATAATAAAATCTTAAATTATTTTATAACTTTATCAATTTGGTATTTAGTAAATATTTTATTCACAGACGATAATTTTGTTAATAAAAATATGTCTTCAACTGTAGGAAGAATAAAAACATTCTACATTATTGGATTCCTTCTCTGCGGTTGGAAAAGGCTGTGAAACATTCATTTCGTGAACACCAATTTTCCTTCTCTTCCCGTTGCACCACCTCAATCCTTTACATGGATTGGAGATGATTTTAGGGGGCACGCCCAGCTGAATAAGACATACCCTACCCTCCAAAGAATCCACCCTGTTATCAATACTCTGCTCTCTTTAAACATGTGCGTCCTCTCTTTCTTTACCATGTTATGCACGCATTACTGTCTTTCCTATGTTGTACTGTGTAGTGTAGTGTAGACTATAGTGGTGTGAGAATATTGTCCAGTGGGCCACCAATCCTTTTGGGTCCACATTGACTGGGCCAAAGCCCATTATTTATGCTCCTTGGTCAAACTTCATTTTTTTTATTCTGTTGAATAGTTTGTACACGTGATTACTTTTCACATGAGGTCGATGACTTGGACAAAGTAATTAACCATTAATTTAGCTTCGCTTTGACATTACCATTTCTCTTTATCAGCCCAATTGAAGGCTCCTTCTTACTAATCTCACAGTCTCTTTATTACTATAATTGTATTTGTTCATATTTTTTTACATGTATTGGATTAGAACTCTTCTTCGTACATACATATATATTTCATATTTAAACGATCTTTGAGAAAGAAAAAGTAAGAAAAAATAAATAGATAAACTTTTCTATAATCTAAAATTAGTTTATATCAAGTTAAATGTACAATTTTTAAAGATTTATACATTAAAACTTCTATAAATTAACTTATGTATGATATATTTTAAACCTATAATGAAGTTAGTTTCAATTTATCTTCATACTTTTTTTTTCTTGGAAAAAACTTACGGAAGAACTTATTCAAACATATCTTAAGATTAAGTTACTAATTAGCAGTTCTAACTTGCAGAGATTATTAAAATATAACTAGTAGGGAATTAATTATTTACTCTCTTATCTTTTATACAAAACAAACAAATGATTTGATGTATATAATTTTGTTCAATTATTCATAGCAAATTTACTTGTCTCAAATTTGTCATTGAAGATTATTCTCTGTCATGTTTTCTAGGCAGGCAAACTGACTCTGAACAAATTAACTTATGGGACAAGGTGACGAATAATGTGAAATTCAACAGAAGTACGAAGCCTCTTTATACTAAATTATAAGATCCTTTTTCTCTCATGAGGATTGGATAATTGAATAGGTTTTAATTAAACTTATGAAAATATGTTAGATATATATAATATAATTTTATTATTTAACGTAGATGGAGTGTATAAAGTGATATAGTGTGAAATATAGTTAGATACGATGTTGGTGGGTGAGTTTACAGCATGGGTGAGAGTTAAATATTGAAGTTGAGCTAAACGGAGAAAGAGAGGTATTGGGATCCATTCATCTTCCAGGTACCTTGCTTATATTCAATGGTAAAACTCTCTAGTATGGTTGAATTTGGTTTTGGTTTGTTGATCCTATTTACAGTCAAATAGGAATTTAAACTGCAAAAGAAGAGAGCATGATTGAATTATGTATATTGTTCGTTCTGAAGCGGAGCAGAAAATTAGTCTGAGCCAGTATATACATTGTCGTTAAGATAATAACAATATCATGAAATTCAATAACTGAAAAATTGAAATTTGTTGAAGATATGAACTATGTCGTGTACATAGCACGATGAGGGTTAATTAATGGTGGGTGTAGGAGGAAGAAGTAGGTAACGATGATTAGTGAATGACTTAACAATTTGAGTTTAGGTTTGTAGTTAGGTTAGGATGAAAAGAAAATGAAGACGAAAAAGAAAGAAGGTTGATAGAGGGAGGTAATGAATGAGAAATTAAAAACTAAAAGAAGAAAGTGCAGAGAGTGAAATTGAAGGAATATATAATGTTACAGAGTTACTGGGTGAGGGAGGAGATGTTTCCCGTGGAAGCAGAAGCAGAAGCAGAGGAAGAAGAGTTCTTGTGGTTATGCATCCAAACTTTGAAGACCTGCCTAGTGACTCCAATGCTTCTGCAGAACCTCTCAATCTCATCATCCAGATCCTTCCTCTGAAGCTTCCAACCAAGCTTCTCTGCAAACGCCAGCATCTTCTCCTTCTGATCTGCGCTGAACTTGGACCTGAACCGCTTCTTCCCCCCTTCCCCACCGTATTCCATCTCTCCCGCCCTTTCCGCTCCAGCCGGGTACTTCACTTTCTGGTGGAAGTTGCGGTGGCACCCGCACGCCGCGCATTGTAGCCCCCCGCCGTCCACCGTGAACTCCCCGCAGCCGTCGGTGGCGTAGCTTCCGAGGCTCGCTGCATGGTTTCTCAAGCACTCTCTGTATACACTCTTCCATTTCTCGCCAGATCCTCCTTCCATGCTTTTTTTCCTTTCTCTCTTTCTCTCTCTTGGAGCGTCCAATGCAAAGCCCATCAACTATATAACCCGACACCTTTCTTTGCATTTGCAATGACTACTATAGTCATCTTTGGATACCATATTTACAGTGTCTCTCTTTCTATAGACACGTATTCACTATTACAAACTTCAACACTATCTACCTTCATCAACAATATACACATCCACCTACTGTTCATAAGTAAACACACAATCCATCCAAATTATCCCATAAAACTAACACTATTCTATTATGTCAAAATAAGTCAGACTCATTGGATTTTATGCAAGCTTATATATGAAGGATTGTCAGGCTATTTTAAACTCTGACAGTACCCTAAAGCTTCCAAACCTTAAAACATGCCTATATTAATCAACCTTTCACAGCTATATATTACATTATAATTGTTCTAAACTGGGTCTCTCCTCTTTATATATATATTACCATATTATTTATCTCTCTAAGTAGCGTGCATATTGGAAAATGAAGGAGCGGTGATGAGGATGCAGTTAAATGGAGCAGTAATATAGAGCCCCTGCAAGGGACACGAGCGTCTATCCAAGGAAATGAGGAAAGGTTGAGGGCAGAGGGACCCTCAACAGTATGGGCTCTGTCCAATAATTCACTTTGGAATGCAGAAAACAAAACCTTTGGGAATTTCATTATTTTCTATACATACAGATACAGACACACCCCTCTTTTTGTACTTTTCTACTTGCACAAAACCTTCCCTATCTCGTTAATTTTCTCTTCTAAATAAAATATAAGCCAATCTATTCATGTCAAAATGAGAGAGAAAACATAGAACTGTGGATCATGCGCTCCCAAAAGGTCATTGGTTGACAGAGCACATGATGCCTGTATAATTTAGAGAAGAAAATAAAGAGAAATGGGACGGAGGAAGAGGATGATATATACAATGTATAAAAATGGTGAGCAGAGAGAAGTGTGAAATATAAACAGAATGTAAGGTTTAGAAATTGAAAGAATGAATGGGTGGGAAATTGAGAGGGAAAAGATGCATTCACTGGATGAATGATTCAGTATCTGTTGGGAACCATTTTGCCTTGTTTCCTTTTCTCCGGTCAGTGTCCAGTCACAGTACAATGTGACACTCCCCACAGTACTCCAATAAGCCTCACACAGAGAGAGAAAGCACTTTAGTTTACAACTTGTTTGCCTTTTTTTTGGCTAAGGCTGCAAGAATCCAAATATGCCCACCTCTATCTTTCTCTCATGTATATCATCATTTCATTAGATTTAATATGAAAAGAAAATGGCTAAAGGATTATTATTGGAAGGAAGGACAAAGCCTCCTGAAGTCAATTACTTACCATTTTATTAATTCATTTCTGAAATATATAGCCAATTGCTTGAAGATTTGAGATTTAGTTTCTCACAGAAACAGAATAAATTTTAAAATTAAGACAATTAAATTTATACATAACTAGTGAAAAAAATTTCCACGTGTTTTTTTATTTTAATTTATTAAAATTTAATGTATATATTAATTTAAAAATAAAATCATTTATAGAAAAAAAAACATAATAATCGAATATTATTCTTTAATAGAAAGCCCAATACCCTCAATTCAATTCGCCAACGTTCATTCTCATTTTTCTGGGCCTTACTACCGTTTTCATCATCTGACCCATCAAGTATACCCAAATTGAGTAAACTTTTTTGTATACAAAAAAATGAGGGAAAGTGATTTTGTATTACAACGAAACAAGAAAAAATTTTCATTTATTCAAAGTGTATTAAAATTTTATGTTAATGAAATTCAAGATTAGGTTTTATTTATTAAGTCTAGATTTCTGTGAATAAATAAAAAATAAAAATAAGTTGTTTTATTTTCAATATGAAAAAAAAATCGATTATTTTAATTAAAAATGACTTTGAAATGTAAATTGAAAATGTCTATTGTATATGAAAGCACTTAAATCACCACGACTTAATTTAAAGGATTACAGATTATTTGTATATATATAAATATATTGATGAAGACATTATTCAAATGAGCTATTAGTTTTCTTCTCAAATATGAAGGCTTAAGTTCTGAGAAAGGATTATAAAAGGAATGTTAAAGTTTTAAGTACTGATTTAAATTTAAAAGAACGATTCTAAACTAAACACTTTTCTTTCACATGAGTTTATCCTTCCACTTTGGTATTAGAACCCAAGTCGCAAAGAAGTTTTATGTTAGATTTTAAAGTTGAAGACAAATCATTTTTAGAGATCCAGTAATTGAACTTAAAAAGAGTTAGTGAATACGTTGATTTGCTAAGTTCAAAATAGAGGTAGTTGTGTTACATGCAACCGTAAAGAAGAAAAATGTCTGTAGTGTTGATAACTTGAATTTATTTTATATGTTACGAATAATATTAAAAGGTTGAGTTCATAAACGAAAAAAATTTCAAATATTTGTAATTGGCAATATATATCACAAACCCCTAAAAGTACAAATAAGAGTTTATTGTTTAATTTTTTTTTTAGTGAAAGGTGTATAAACATAATAGAAAAGGTGTTGGATAAACTGTGTGTTGTGTCGTTGCAAAGTTACAACTATAACTGAAAAAGATAATTTTGGTTGGTAAAGGTAATACATGATGGAATACGGGTTAGATTCTATGTACCATATCATTAATTTATCTAAAAGATGGTCATCCTATTTTATCAATTTTGTTAAATTTGTCAATCCAACAGATTAAGTGTGAAAAAAAAAATTAGGTTGACCCACTGGTTTGTTTAAAAAATATATTTATATATAAAAATAAAATTAATTATAATTGAAAATATTATATATTTTTATTATATTATTGAAATATGTAAATATATTATAATATTAGAATTTAAGTTATAAATATTAATAATTAAATTTAAATAATTAGTAATAATTATATATTTCAACACATATACATTAATTTTTTATTTTATTTAATAAAAATATTAATTAATAAATAAAAACTTAATTATTATTCTTATAATTAAATATATATATATATATATATTAAATACATAAGAAACAAATAAAAAAAATACTTGTGGGTTGACCCGCTATCCCATTAGTCCGTCTTTAGTCCGACGGGTTGAGATCTATGAATCAATCTCCTTATGGATGATTATACCTCCACAATTTATTCTTACACTTACATAATTAAAATAAATCTCATTTTACCCTTTCATCTATCTTCTTTATAGATTTGATATTTTAAAAATACATTATTGATTATATGTTTTGAAACTCATTTCGAGAACACTCAATCTAAAATATATTTCAATAACATCTAATTTGGAAATGAGTTCCAGAACAACTAATGCGAAATGTGCATTTTGAAATGACTATTGTGAAACTCATTTTTAGAACACTCAATTCGTAATACATTTTGAAAACACTAAATTCATAAATGAATTTTAGAACAACTAATCTAAAATAAAATTTTATATTAGGTGTTCAAAAAATATATTTTAGATTAATTAGTTGGGAACTCACTTTTGAGTATATAAATACATTAAGAATTAAACGGTTTAGATTCCTATATACACTTTTAGTCTAAATTTTATGGACATTGGGACGAATATTCTATAATAGATACAAAACATTAATAATTTCTAACCTTATGGACTGAAAATGATCTTCAATGGAAGTGGAAGGGCAATAAAACGAAGATGGATGAGTCATGGAGGTTCAGAAGAGTGTAAAGGAGCACGAGTGAACAAATTTTGTAGGATTTCAAACCAAAATTAATAAAAGATTTTTTTTTTGATAATTTTACATAGACTATTGGGGTGCATGAATAAATTATGGACTACAATAAAAAGGAGTCATTAGTAAAGACAAAGTTAGTAAAAATTAAAATGCTACGGGTTAAGTCCAGTAGAACAACTCACTCACCTATGTTAAAATTAGTGGGATAAATTGAAAATTTTAGTCGTTCAACCTATTTTGACTCATTTCACCATCTCACAAACTTTACCAATTAAGAATAAAACGTTCCCTTTTAACAAAATATTTATATATTAAAATAAAAAAATTATAAATAAAAAATTATATTTTTTATATTATATTGATAAAATATATAAATATACTATAATATTATAATTTAAATTATAAATATTAATAAATTAAACTTAAAATATTAATTATAATTAGATATTTTGGTACATAAATATAATATTTGTTTATTTTATCTAATAAAAATAATAATTAATAAATAAAAATTTAAAAATTATTCTTATAATTAAGTATATTTTAAAATAAATACATGTAAATAAATATATTAGCGAATTAATTCACTAACGTGTTAGTTTTCTCTATAGTATGTAAAATGAGCTAAAGATCTATAATCTAGTTCTAGTTATTAGTGACAGTATTTTTTTAGAATTACAGAAAAATTATGAATATAAAGTGGTATAACTTACGCATGTATTTTTTATTTTAGTTCTCTAAACTTATCAATCATTAAATACCTTTTTTATATATTTATAATTTTATTTTTATTTATTTTTATTTTTTGATATTTATTTATTATTTATTAATAATATATTATTTAACTTTAAAATTAATTATAAGATCCGGAATAATCTACCCCACACATTCTTATAGTAAAAGTGAGACGGATAAAAAGGATAGACCGGCCCTTGTCATTCCCAGGGGAGAAATAATTTAAAAAAGTGGACCTGTTGCTGCTTCATCAGAATCTCATGCTAAAAGAAAAGAAGATTCCGAAGTGAAGAAAACAAAATTTGGTATGGTGTATTAATCTTAGTATTATTGTCTTTGGACCACTTGATTTTTTGTTTGGTGATGAGCCCAGAGAATTGTGCATTAAATGCAGGCCTCTTTCAAATTCAATGTACGGAAGGCACTTGAATGAGTAGGTCCACTTCACAATCATGATTTCAGTGTCCATTCCTTTCACCTTTCCTTCCCAACACTGGTCCACTACAGGCCCATTCTCATCTCTTCTCTTCCCTTCTCATTCATCATATTGGGCCTCATTTTCTTGGATACATAATTCACTCCTAACCTCACTACCTACTGCCTATAATTTTCTCCTTCCCAACCATTCAAAACCCTACAATAAAACTCATTCCAACACAAAATGTTTTTCCATTCCTTGCAATTTAGTTGTATACTTTTCAAGAATATTCTTATTCCGTCATTTCCTCATCAAATGTAAATTAAAGCTCTGAACTTTGATCCTCAAGCACTTGTTATTGATGAGACTTGTGTTGTGTATGTTCTTTATAACTTCTAATTGACTACACACTTGTAGTATCTCGTGTCAGACCTTAATGGACATGTCTTTGATGGGTGAATAGTTTTTATCCGACACACGGAAAAAGTTGGAGTCCTATTGCTTTCAAAATCATCATCTTCCTCTTTTTTCTTGTTTTCTCCACAACAATTCTTTACCATTTGGTTAGGAAAATACCTTTCATACTTCTTACCTCGTAAGTCTTCTTTGCTCTGGTAACTCTTGTGCATGGATATTTTGTATTCTCCAAGGTAGTCATAGAAGTAAACTTCTACAATTTTACGAAATTTAGTGGCAAGTACCTTATTAGCAACAATAATTTATGTCGCTATTTTTTTTTTTTTTTACTGTCTTATATATACTCGTACTGTCCTTGTAACTTTCTCTCGTTAAATTTAGGTAACCTCGAACTGGTTATATGGTTTGAGAGTCATATGAAAATGGTTCCTGAAAAATCACCAAACAAACATGTCTACAAAATTTTGTTATTTTTTATTTTTATCTTCTAGATGGAACTTCATTCTCACCGCCAAAATTTATAGTTTTCTCCGTTAAACATGTGTACATTATGAAAATCTTGATTCTGGTTCTTCTTATTTCCATAGAAAATTATCTCTTCTTTAAGGATCATAAAAAAGATCACCTTTAATTTTCTGATACACTCGGGGTGTATCAGAAGGAGCAGAAGTAGAAGTGATAAATATAGCAGATAGAAGCTTTGGGAGAGATGAGAAGAAGTGGAATGGAGATGAAAAATGAAAGTGAAAAATTACACCGCAAACTGCTCTAGAACATAGTAGTAAATAATAATCTCCACGTCCTTTTTTTGGATGCACATCTAAGTCTTCTTATATCCATGTCACTTTTCCTCTTTCAGTCGTTGAAAAATAAAAATGAAAATATAGCAAAAGATTGAGATTTCTGAAGCATGGAAAAGATAAGAGGTTAATTAGCATTATCTGTGGTGGTAGTGGCAGGTTCACATTCACCATTAGGACTGCGTATGTGAAGGGCTGAACTCCACATTTCATCGGATATCCTTGTTTTACGGGCCATGTCAATGTGATGCCAGGACAGTATCGGAGCACCAAAGCTTTATCTATGGAAATGTCTTTTTCTTCTCTCTTTTTTTTTTCACTTATATTCCTTCTTTTCCCCTCCATTATAGGTGCTAAGGTCCATATTAATTGCCATTATTGATCTTCTTCTTGAATAAAGCTTTCTCGTATAAGGTCAATAATACCATGGACTTTTTCAAACAAAGCAAATCCTTCTGGAAAATTCCACTTGACTACTTGTGCGAAATTAGTTTCACTCAATTTCTCACTCTGTTTGTACGTGTAGCACTCAATCATGCTTCAGTGGATTTCTTCTTTTGTATATTTATGTTTTGGACAGTTTCTTTTGATAATAATGCTATCCAAAGGATTAGTAGGGTGTAATGAACCCTATTAAAACTTCCCACTCCTTTACATTTCCCCAGGTGAATTACACATCTATTAATATTTTCTAAAACCTAATTTCAACTAGTAGTATACTATGCCATGTAACCCAAAAAGGAAACATGATGCAGTTGCTCCATTTATATTTCTGACTCTACAACTGCGGTGTGCATTTCAACAGTTGCAGAACAAAATCGTAAAATCCATTGCCAGATAAATTTCTAATCAAAAGTGTGGTGGCATCGGATTATGCACAAGAAAGAAAGTTTTAGATTGGATTGTGTTTAGAAGGACGACCTGTAGAATATCATCCATGTTTCTAGTTTTGGCAATATATCATATATAGATGTGTCACTGCATTCACATGTCTCAAAAGCTACAGTATACTATCTATGTTAACATTATCGAATGATATAGGCTATGCTTATGCATCAAGTTATTTATAAAGAAAAAACAACTGTCATATACAGGTACATATATAATTCAAATAGCATAACAATTGGGGTACATTTATGAGGATTAAGCTTGGTGTTTTGGCCACTGTACCTTCCTCTATTAATGGAAGTGTTTCATATTGTCTGTGTGTCTATATATATAGATATAAATATAAACGTCATTCAACTAAAAAAATCTAATCCGGGTTTCAAATTTTAACGATATTGGTTATTATTATTATTATTATTGCTACTACAACGTAAGTGTGCATAATTCCTCTAATAATAGAAAATCATGGAGTTTTGCTAGCTCAATTTGATGCTGACTGTGAACACAAATTCTAAACATTTCATTTTCTACACAGTGAAAGAAAGCTGGGTCCCAATAATTGTTTTGCCATCACAGTAGAAAGTCATATTTCAATGAATGGAACAAGTAGTGTGAGATAAAATAAGAAAAAGATAATTTGTGATTGAACTATTTTTTCCTATTATATTAAAAGAAATTGAAAGATATGTGGGTAGGGGATGAAAAGGGTTGTGAAATGGGAGTGCAGTGAAGCAGTAAGTTAACGTGAAGAAAGAAAGGACCCGGGGGTGAAATGAGAGTGCAACCTCCACCAGTTGATAATAATTATGGGGAGGAAATGCAATGTTGTGCGTCAGGTAAAAGTGGAGAGGAGACTGAAACTGAACCAAGCAATTACAACGATGCATAGACGAGAGAGAAGAAGCACATGGTCCAAGATAAAAAGCTACCAGCTGAGGAAACTAAAGAAATACGACACTTTAAGCTGCTCATATCTTTGGCCTTTCTACGGCTTTTTGTATTGGTTCTCCCAATGAAAGATAATAAGAGGACCACAGAAGAAAGAAGAACATTATGATAATAATAGATTTTTACATCACAAGTAATTCGTTTGTAACCCCAAAAGCTTAGAATGGTCTCTGCATATTTGGAAAGATGCTGCTTCTCTCTGCGCCCCACTACTGTCACGGCCCTGATTCAGATGCAAGAGACGTTAAGGTGGTATCATGAATAGAGTTTGTTTGTGTCTGAACGCTTTGAGACCCTTGAGAGGGACGACTGAGTCTGCGACTGTCATTAACCCCTCACCCAGTGGCACTGAAAAACATGCTGCTTTTTATTCACATTTATAAGTCGCCAGAATAGCAGTCCAAAAGGAAGGACTATGCTATCTATCTGGATTCCCTTCTCTCTCTCTCTCTCCCCGTCTCTCACTAGTGTGTTTCTGCAGTGTATATTCATTTCCATTTTGAATTTCTTTTTTCTTACTTTATTTTCCTCAGTACAATTCTTTAATGCTTGTTAAGGACTCTTCTCCTCTTTCAGCCCTACACGACCAACAAAGATCTACACATAGTCCAAACAGATAATCCAAAACAACCAAAACTAAAGGGTGGGGAATTCAGTGCTTCTCTGACTCTCATTCATTGCAATGCACGAAAGAAAAACCTAACGAGAATGAAATCAATATATATACAAGTACCACTGTATATATACCACCACATCATCACACACCACTGTATATTATATGTATATATATATATATATATATATATATATATATCCAATATTAATATATTATAGCCAGTAGCTACTAACTACTAAAAGAAATCAACGTTTAACCATATGTACGTACATCCACCAAAACCTGCTCATCATATATATTATGTCTGCATTTATACCCATTTTAATTACTCCACAAATAAAATGGCACAAACTGCGAATAATTTACATTAATAAGAACGAACATTTTTCACCATCTCGCTGGCTATTAATCCCACGTACATAACTGTAGCACTCACCTCACATGGTATACCATTTCATAAAGGATATTAATTAGGGTAGAAAAACAATATAACTATGACAATAAGGAGAAGCAAAAGAAGGAATCAGAAATTAAGATGGGATATGAATGGAGAATGTGGAGGAAAAGGGAGAGAGGTGAGGATGTCTAATAGTTAATGGCTTTGACACGATGTTTTCCAACTTGGCCACCTTCTGTTGCTATATAGCTTAACAAGAAAGAGGTCTTGTCCGGTGGAGCAGCACACGTTATGGTTCGCGATTGGAAATGGTGTTTGCAAGCAAGGCAAGTGATTTGAAGCATGGTTGAATTGATCTGTTTGATTGCATGGTCCTTCAAGGCACAGGCTTTGTCCAGTTCCGCTAGTGCTTGTTGTCTTATCCTTTTGGCGTTAGTGAACTCGAGTTCCGCCAGCTCCATCTGCCTCTTGGCTTGTTTCCTTGCCTCTTCCGCATACGCTTTTTCTGCCACGGCTATCCTCAGCTGTTCACGTGCCTCTTCTTGAACCCTTTCTCCCAATGACTTCTCCTCATTCTTCTCCCTCATGTTGGTTTTTTCCAATGACCCGATGGTTAGCTGCAACTGTGCAGAGTGGTTTCCGTCTCTCTTATTCCCTTTGGGTGATGCAGCCGCGATCATTCCAACAGGAGAGGCTGTAGAGAGCTGAAGCTCAAGGTTGGGTTGGAGTTTGTTCACTTTGTTCTTGTTGTTGTCGTTGTTGGTTTGTGCAGTGGTAGGGTTGGTGAATGAGGCCGGTTCTACTACTGTTACTGTGGGCTTTGGAATTACTACACCGGTTTGCCAAGGGGTATCTGTGCTGAAATTGTTTTCGCTTGAAGGGCTTGAAGCTGTTCGAGATAAGCATGCAGCAGCTTGCACTGCCTGCGTTTCTGCCCCCAACTGCCCCATGTTGCACGCGTCTTGATGCTCAATAAAGCTCTCCACCCTACAAACAATTGAGAGAGATCACAAAGAATCATTCCGTGCCTTTTGAAAAGCTCATCAGATCCTTCCTTGCAAAAGTACTAAAAAGCAGAATTGAAGAGAAAGAAAAAAAAAGTGGTTAATAGAAAGGTTTCTGGGGAATAGGTGGGGGAGAGGTTGCAGTTCCACTAGAGGTAGCTTGTTCTCGGATGGTATACAATACAAGTTCTTGAAGAAATACAGTTGAAATGTGGCAAAGGTTAAATGAAAGAAGGTGTATAAAGAATGGCGGAGGGTGTTGATGAAAGTATATATTGGTGAGCTTTGGGAACCGTGTGTTCCCAGCTGTCAATAAACAGCAATGCTGAAAACTTTGTTTAAGGTTCCATCAGTCAAATACTATTAAACTTTAATTTATTTATTTATATATGAATCTCCTTTTGCTTCCCCCATTGATGGCTTTATTGCCATCCAAAAAATATATCTGCCCTTTTGTTAAAGTCAAAAGCCGAATAAAATAAAAGAGGTGGAAGTTTTGGCAAACATGAGACATGGAAAGGAATAGAGTGGTGTTTGAAGTGGATGAAAGATTTGGATGAAGAGGGAAAGAAAATGGTGGTGTTGGATAAGGAAGGAAGGTAGGAAGTAAAGTAAGTTTATGTATAGATAGATAGTATACATACCTTGAGAAAACGCGACCACAATCGCAAGAGTGCCCTCGAGTGCCACAGGTTTTAAGATGTGCTTTGTAATCAGACTGCACCGCGTAGCCTTTGGAGCATCTCTCGCAGACCCATTGCTTGTGACTGCTGTGTTTCCTTCTGAAATGCTTCTTTATGCCAACAAGATCACCCAGAGCATGGCACGGGTCATGGTGCAAGCAAGTAGGTTCCGGGCAAACGAAGACTCGCTTCTTCACCAGCGGCGTCTCCCTCTTCAAGAGCTTCCACGGCACCTTGTGGCGGCGCCGGTGCATCTGCAGGTTCTGGTCCCTCTGGAATCCCTGGTTGCAGATCTCACACACATAACGATCTGATTCCAGCAAGGTCTTGGGTGATAGGGACACCACTTCTGCATCTGGATCTGTGTTGCATTTAATTCACACCACACCACACCACACACCCAACCCAACCCATAGTAAAATGAATTAATTAATGAATTACTCCACTCATTAAACACCACTTTAATTACCTTTCAAGAATAGATACATGTGATTGGAGTAAATAAAAACTACTAAAACAATTTAATTAGTTTTATCAAGTTTTTAAGAAAAAAAAAAAAAAAAGGGTACTAGAAGAAGGATTAATCGTGAACCTGGTGTTCCTGCAGGCCTTCTCTTCCTTTTATTAGTGGCAGTAGCATTCTGGACGCAGGAAAATGGCTCAGAAGGAGATGAGTTGTTGACTAACATGTCAATCCTTACTACGGAGGCCATTTTTAAGATAACAGGAAGATAGAATTAATAGAAGGAGGTTAAGGAATAAGAGAGAAGGTGATGAGAAGATAGATAGATAGATTGATAGATACGGGTACCTAAGGGGAAAAGAGGAAGGAAAAAGCTTATTTATTTTTTCCTCTTTCGGTTACCTCACTCAGCTTTCTTTAACTTACTTTTAAACTTTCAGCTTTTTCCAACACCTTTCTCTCTCTATCTCTCTGGGTTTCTCTCTTCTCTTCCTCATCTTCTTCAACAGGGATTGTCTCTATAGCCCTCCCTAGCTAATAAGCTTTCAAAAAGTGACTGAGAGTGAGACACCAATCACAAACCTCTAAACTTGATCCCACAATGGGCTCCAGAAGAAAAACATCCCCACAAACAAACAAAACCCTCTCACAATTTCTTCACAGTAAAATTTTATCTTCCTTTGCTTTGCATGCATAAATACATACCAAGCCCCCAAATACACACGTAAGCTTCCTATTTTTGTCACATTCTCCTCACCATCCATCTCATTCTCACGCACTACCTAGCCTTCTTATTTCTTCTCCCTCTTACAATGAAAGAAGAGAGAGGACAGATACATCTTTATAGACCATTGTACCCACACCCAGCATTTCTAATTAATTTCACTTGAGGCAGCTTTTTTAAAAGCCATAATGAGGATGTGAAGTCACCCTCAAGGGCATTCCAGTCCATGGGGTCATAATTTTTTCTGTCCAACGTGCTTTTTTTATTATTTTCTTAGCTTTTTGGTACACCCGGGGCATCATCTTAGTTAACAGTTGCAAGTAAAAACTGGTAACATTGTCTTTTCTAGGTGAGGTTCGTAACGTTGACAACACTGTTGAGAGGCCCCCAACACATCCACTGTGCTGCATTAATCACCATTTTACCTCGACTTCAACAAGAGAGGCAACCGAAAGCAATATACTAAACCATGTTTTCGCATAAATGGTATTCATGTCACTCACTTTCCAGTACTCATCTCAGATGGAGAAGAATATTAAATCTATGTCAAGAAGCAGTATCCCCATCTACAAAACCAAGATTCATCAATAAACACTTCAAGCTTTTTGCTTTATTCTTTCTCATTGATATTTAAATTCCTTTTGAAACTTTCCATTGAGCTCATCAGTTTTGATGACAAGAATTCTTGTGTTGTATAAAATATCATATATGGATTTTATTTGTATTTTATGTTTCTACAATTTCTGTATCAGATTACAAATATCTAAATTCAACTTCTGCAAATATTAAGAATGATTAATCGATTACCTACTAATTTTGATAATATATTAAATTGACAACACTTGTTATGATACACCAGACAAATCAGGCTATGATATTTTTGAGACTAACTAAAAATAATAGAACAATTTTCAACAATTATACATAAGTCAATTATATAAAAAATATAACACTATTTTTAATTTAAAAAATTTCTCCCTTATATTATTTAATTTCACCATTTTTATCCAACGTTTGTATTCATAATTCTAACAAATATTATAACAAGTTAAAACGAGTTTAAAAAGTGTCTTCATGACACTTCAACATATTATCAATTCCTATAAAGGATAAAATAAACCTTGTAGAGATTAAAAAAAAAACTATGAAAAAAAACTCCTTTAGATCAAGTGTCTTATATTATAAGTTATGCACTGACAATATAAAACGGTTTTATTTGACCATTCAACTATAACTCGCCATGTATAATATGATAAGTTTGTTTACTTTTTATGACTATTGAATTCATATTTATGGTGATTTGAGATTGAATGATAAAGTAAAAGTTTATATTGACAGGTGCATATTAAACTCTTAATAATTGTAATTAAATATCAAATTTTAGAAAACATTAATTTAATTTTTCTTTTACTTTTGTGACGATAAAAATTATTATTAAATGTTAACTTTAAAATTAAATAAAAAGACTAAATTCATATAATTTTTAAATGGGTATTATTAATTATGACCATTAATGAACTTGGTAACCAAGATAATGGGTCTTGCTAAGTTGCGAAAGGATCTTAAAGTAGTCGTCTAATAAAAAACTGTGTTCGTTAAACTTGAAGATGATTAAAGCGAACAATACCGTTTTCTTAAATGACAATTTTTCGTAATGTCCCAAGTCCCAACATATGGCGTGCCCAACGTCATCCTCTAATCCTTACAATAAATCCAAATTACAAGTTAGGTTTGATTTTTTTGTCAGATTTTTTTTTTCTAATAACTGTATTGTGTTTAGGTTTCGGTTCACAAATATTATAGGGATCTTCTTGGTAGCAGCTGTCCCAAAATTTTGTAATTCTGTTTAAAAATTTAATGAAAATCTAATATATTTAGATGTTTAATTCTCATATAATTTATTATTTTCTCTCCCTCAAACTTAATAATCATTTAATATATTTAAGTATATATCTATAATTTTATTTTTTTAATCTTTCATTCTCATTTCAAAGTGAATAGTATATTAGACGCACTAATAAACCTTAAGATACTATCATAAAAGATATAAAATCAACAAACTGTGACATATATACCATCGTAATAAATATGAGATGGAGAAAACGACACACAACGTATTCATATAAAATTTTAGGAACTTAATTTGAGGAATAGGAATGAAAAATGGAGAAGATTGGTCCCATTAACTGTTGGGCGATGCCTATTTATTTGTCCTTTATGTATTTGTTTGTATTTGCAGGCCTGTATTGTACCATGCAGACATAGCATATACACAAAAAACAACACAAACTAAGAACTTGAACGTAGGGTCAAGTAATTTAAGTCGCATATGATATGATGGTTGTAGCAAGACAACTTCTGCAACTATTATAAGCTTCTTTGAAGGAGCATGATAGTTAGAAAGTGAAGAATGGTATTAAACGACTAATCAATTATATGAAAGAATAATTTACTTGGTTATAATAATCTTACATAAATTAAATACAATTGCTTTCTATAAATGATACATGTGGTAAAAAACTTACATGAGATCTTTTTATCCAGTCCAATTAAAACTATTTGATTAGTTTGAAATATCTTCTTTATTTTGTAATCAATTTCAATCTAATCCAGATGAGTCAGACTATGATATTCGATAATTAAAAAATATTATTTCCTGAAAATTTTAAAATAAATATTTTAATATATTTTATTTTTATAACACATATAAATGATATTCATATAATAAAATATAAAATTATTATTTTTTTACAAAATTTATTAAACTATTAATATTTTTATCATACAAATAGATTGATCATATCTAAAAATCAACAATCCACTGACCAAGCTAGTTTCAATTAGGTGTATTAAAAAATTGACTCAACTCAGTCCATAAAATGCACACTTTTAAAGGAGCGGGTTGTTGCTAAATGGTCCAAACGCTAAAGCCCAACATAGTGGGCCTGGTTCAGGCCTGTCCTTCCTTCTGAAATTATGTTGGGCTCATGGTTTGCTTATAGCAATAGCCATACTGGTCCACATTCGTGACAGCCTACCACCACCAACAAAAACATTTATCATCTACATTATATACAAATTAAAATATTGGTTTTTTTATTATATATAATGTAAATATTTTTCATTATATTTGACTAAATGTAAAAATAATAAAAATGAATAATATTTGATACGTTTCACAGGGCTCATGATTAGAAAACCTGAAATATATACCTATCCATCACATGCATTTATACTTATATTTTGTACCTATATCAAGCAGAATGAGTGACTGATAGAGGAGATTTGAGTTGTGGATGGATCCAAGAATGCAATATCACCACAATGCTACACAATTTCAACAATATCTAAATTCACATATTTTTAAATATTATTCAAAAGTTAGAATACTAATTATTGAGTTATACAATGCTATAAGAATATAATACACTAGCCACCTTTTTTTTCTCTCCTTTTGCAAACTAAAAAATATGACCCTTTCCCTTCCGCTCATATGCATTAAAATTCTTGAATTATAATTCTGTTAAAGAGATTATACGAACAGAAATTATCAAACTGCTGCTTCCGAGCATAATTTTTTTCAGTCATTTAGCAGTGAGCACTAGAACAAGATGCCAACAGCAGTGCAAAGTTAAGAAGGCAAACAGTTTGGCTTCAAATATTGGGAACTCCATTTTTTTATACTTTAGGCTTTTATAAACTGAAGTTTTAATTGAAGCAGAAAAGGATAGTAGCACCACGCACAACAAAATCGATCAGTCCCTCTTAACTAATTATGCACAACCATACCAGTTATTTACAATTTTTGAAAAGCGGAGGTTATGTTGCTCTGAACATGACGTTCCTCCAAACGATTCAACGAGACCCAAAATCCAACAGTATTCTTAACTAAAAAATAAATCCGTGAAAGGAAAGAAAAGGAAAGAAAAATCCTTAACTATTATTCATCAGTAACGTCAGATGGCAACCGATATGTGCGGATGACTCGTATCTGAATCAAAGTCAGAGTGGAAATAAGAAAACCAGTTAGTATTAGCAATAATTATTAATCTCAGTATCACCTATATATTTCTACAGAAAAAATTTAAATCCAAAAGGTGCACATATTCTTCAATAGAAACTAAAATACAATACAACATCCATGGATGACAGGCACTGACTCTACAAATGGAACGGATAATAATGCCAAATTGCCAATGTAGTCCTTTGACCCAAAAACCAACAATAATCTCATTTTCGACGGGTAATTTAAAAATAAAAAATCGAAGATCAGGAGTGTTATTAAATAAAATAATCAAATAGGCACAACATAGAGTTAATCGTGTCAAGCTTAAAATTGAAGAATAGTATATATATATATATATATATAAATCTTGCCTGAGCCAAAGCATAAATTGTTCGCAAGATTCTAGCATAATCTGTTCCAAGCATTTGGATGACAATATCAGCCAAAAATGTTCCCCAAAGCCTGTTCCACAAGCCAAACAAAATGTTTAGAAATACTCACTAATTGTACCTCGGAGAGT